AAGGACAATGTTATGAGTTTTATATGGTGTGTTTGTATTAAAATAAAAGAAATGTGGATAATGTGAGTGAAGTGTGCTTGATTATAAAGAAATGAAATTCCCAATTAGCACTGAACTCTGTTTAGGAGCAGTGTATTTGTTCTCCTATTTTATATCAGGAACATATGTTCATAATGTACCAGCTGTGGTTTTGATTTACTAAGAAATGAAATTTATAATTCTCATTCATCCTCCCTTGTATTAAAATCTTCGCTTTAAGACCAGACACTTTGTGCCCAGGAATATGGCATTGCAAATTTACTAAAAATGTACCCATTGATAATAGGATAAATGTACTAAATTCATAAAAGAAGAGGATTTCTTCTTTAGAAATTAAAGCACTAAATTATAATTACATTCACACACAAGCCCCAGCTCTTCCTAGGCACAGCGGTGCAACCTGAGTCCACTGTGTTAAGATAAGTGTGTCCTTCATACCCTCCAATGGTATTTAATTTATCTCCGAGTAAACGAATCCCCACTGCCTCTCAGCTGATGCTCACAGGTGCCACTGCAGTCCTATACCTGTTTTGGGATCATATCTCTCCTTACTGTCTGAGAGTCTGGAAGTCAAGGTGGGTGCGGGAGCATGATGTCCTTCCATAGCACACAGCAATCTGTTCCAGGTAGTTACTCCTACTCTACCTCTCCTTTTTGACATTTGTGCACAGAGTGTCCATTTATTAGTATGAGGATCAAAACATTCTACTCACTTGAACAAGCACTTCTGTCATGACCACCAATTACATAAAGCTTTCTACTTAGTACTGCCACACCTCTGTGCTCCTAGGGGTGTACATAGTGGCAACAAAATTCCACTGGCAAGCCTGAGGGTTGCATCTTTGTGCTGTATTCAGATAGCTCCAGTCATCATGCCTTCCAACTGCATACACAGCATCTTCCAATGCTGCCACACCCAGGCCATGCCTATGTGTGGACATAGGGAGGCTTCACACTCCCAAGTTTTTATTTTTGGGTTTGTAGCATTCTACAGTATTCAAAACCTTAAGTCCATCTCTTCCTCCAAACACACAGTGTGTCATCTAACACTGCAACACTGCACTGCAGCCTCCTCCCATTGATATTTGCCACAGGAGTCCATGGATTTGTAGAGATCATACTTGTGAATGTTTGTCGCTCCTTTTGTTGAATACATTCCTCCAATGGCAAATGGTGTACCAACAGTTGACTTCCTAGGTTTTGTCCAAGGACTTTGTAACATGGGTCGTTTCTCTGGTAATAAATGACACTTCATTACTTCCACGAGGAGTTTCTGACATTCTACACCATCCCAGACAAGTACATTATTTTCCATGTCTACCAGGAACCTGTGGCATAAGAAGAGGTAGCCTATAAGCCAAACATCTACTGAGATCTTTCCATCTCTGTTCCAAATCATGAGGGATTCAAGTAAAAAGTGCATTCACTTCTCCTCATTGGGAATGTTGATGTCATCACTGACCAAGCCCTGCAAGTTCACTGGCTGGTAATAACACAAATTCCTGGTTTTGAATCACTCCATGAAATGTTCCATAGTATAATTGTGAGCCACTTTATGCAAACCTTGGGCATCAGCAAAAGAAGAGATTCCAAGACAGGTTGGTGGGTGAAGCTGCTTCATTAAAAACTTCCAGCAAGCTTCCGAAACCTGTGAAAGCTGAAGAAGGCAAACTGCAGATAATAGGGACTCACTATTTTTTTTAATTCAGAGCGGCCCGTATATGCATACTGAATCAGGGACCATGGTGAATTCGATTCTACACCTTCTGGTTTTATTCTTCTCTTGCTTCCGTGACATCATTGGTAAACATGGCAGCAAGATAATCTGAGACAGAGAAGAGCACCAATCTATGAGCTGAAATTCTTCTGCCATCACCAGCAATTAGAATTGTACCACATAACTGTTTATGTCTCAAGTAGTTTTCCTTCTCTTGTTATTTTTAAGTGTTTGCTCAGCATGATTAAGGGCTTGGAAAATTTCACCTGATGAACATGGTTCCATAGTATGGCAGGATGATAGTGTCTGACTGCAGAGGGCTCCTGAGGTGGCTGGGGTCACGCAGTGCAGGGACAGGGCGAAGGGGAAGGGGCAGAGGAGAAGGATGCTCCGCCCCTCGGGATCCCCTAACCCCTTCCTGACAGCCTCACCACTGGCTCTTGTCCGCCAGGGTTGGTCCACTCTGACTCTCAAGCTGCACCAGGTGAGGGAAACTCTTTCTGAAAACCAGAGGAGGCTGGGGGTGGTGAATGGGCGGGGGCACAGGCTCCTTCCTCTGTGGGGCACTGGCACCAGCAGCTCCCCGCCCCTCGGAGTTAGTGAGCATGCCTTAGAGACTGCAGCCACCTCCTACCTTCGGTTTGGTATTCAGGCTCACTCGCATCAGCAGGGGGTGGGATTCTGGGGAAGTGAAGGGAAAAACGAGGGACGTCGTGCGGTGCGGACTGAGGCTGTTTTTCTTTTTCTTAATTGAAGTATAATTGACATATAATACTAGTTTCAAGTATACAACGTAATCATTGGATATGTGTATGTATTGCAAAATGATCACCACAGTAAGTCTAGTTAACATCCATCACTACCTATGGTTACCAATATCTTTTCCTTGTGATGAGAACTTTTTAAGATTTACTCTCAGCAACTTCCAAATATACAATACACTGTTATTAACTGTAGTCACCATGCTGTACATTATATCCCCAGGATTTTTTTTAGTTTGTTTTATTATATTAGATCTTCGTATAAGCCAAAGTATGGGGAACTAGGTGAAAAATGACCTATTCAGGAAATTCCCAAGAGGGTGTCAGGACAGCTGGGTGTGTGTGGACAGTGATGAAAGATGTGGTGGGGAAACAGTGTCGCAAACTATAAGTCAACAGGGCCAGACAGACAACAGGGCGGCCGCAGAACCTCTGGCTCCCTCAAGCCCCAGTGAATTGCTGTGGACAGACACTAGCAATCCAGACTTGCATGAGAAATCTGTTTACCACTGTGTTCCATTCACCTTTCTTTGGTGGTCAAACCAAACACACCCATCAGGTGTGGTTTATGGGCTGCTTGTAGTCTGGGGACAAGACTGAAAAATGTCCTTATGTGCTTAGTGAGTGTTTTGGTATCTTCCTGGTTGGAATGTGATCTATAGCAGCAAACCAATGAACCCAGCCAGGCTTACAGTTCTGAGATGGCTGGGGCTTGATTAGTGACAATCTTTTTTTTTTCTTAATGTTTTTTACTTATTTATTTTTATAGAGAGGGGGAGGAAGGGAGAAAAAGAGGGAGCAAATCATCAATGTGTGAGAGATACATTGATCAGTTCCTTCTTGCGCACACTCAGCTGGGGGCCTGGCCTGCAACCCAGGTATGTGCCCTGACTGGGAATCAAACTGATGACTTTTCAGTTCACAGTCTGACACTCAATATACTGAACCACACCAGCTAGGGCAATTAGTGACAATTTTAAGCAAAAGAAAAAAAATGCCAGTTGAGGTTTTTTTTGGAAGGACATAAATGTAAAGCTGGGTCCAGAAGTGCAAAGGCAGCAATGTAAAATGAAAATGGGGGTGAGGAGTCCGAATTCGAGTAAGAGGTGGAATAGTACCAGCAGGAAAGGTCTGGGATGATGCAAACCTGCATTTGCTTTCATGTGGCATAGACTGAGTGACTGGTGGACACCTTAAAATGGCTTGAAGGAACAGACATTAGATGGATGGTTTGAAGTAATCCCACATCCCCCACATAAAAGAGCAACAGGGTTAACACTGATTATAGACTCAACCATCAGGTGGTACTGCCAGTGAAGTGGGCACTCTGGAGCAGAGACTGCTTTGTAGCTGATTAAAACAGTCTTGGTGAAAAATGTGGAGCACCTGAGCTAGGACAGTGCCCGCAGAGGAACGCAGCACTGTAGGCAGCCAGGGAAGGCCTGAAGAACTGAGCTGTCAGTCAAACAGAAGTCAGTTGAAGCTCAAAAGAAAATCAGTTGGATGTTTACTGGACTAACTGTGGTGATAATTTCACAATATACACAGACTTTAAATCATTATGTTCTGCACCTGAAACTAATGTTAAATGTCAATTGTATCTCAATTTAAAAAAAAAGAAAAAAAAACCTCTGGGTATAGGACCCAATAATTTTTATTTTAACAAGCTCTCTAAGAAGTTTTGATATATTCTTAAGTTTGAAAACAGTACTTCAAATTCCTTCCTTCCTTCCTTCCTTCCTTCCTTCCTTCCTTCCTTCCTTCCTTCCTTCCCTCCCTCCCTCCCTTCTTTTTGTTCAACAATTTGCAGTGTATTTGCTAGTTATTTGGCCACATGTATGAGAATGACTCTGTTTATACACCATGCACAGTGTTCTGATGTTTGTTTAGACATTATGGCATTCCTGAAACACCTGATAACAGTCTGATGTGAGACAACTTCCCTCCTAATTGTCCCAGGAATCAGCCTTGCCTGACAGAGCTCCCTCAAAGGGTCCTCTGCCACTCTCAGTGAATGGTTTGGGCAGACACTATAATGTGCATTTTTGCTGCTAAGTGCTTTTATTAATCTTTAAATAAAAGGCTCACTCCTTTTGTTTGAAAGGCTACTGGATCTCAAACTTTCATGAAACAACATGATCATAATGAATTTGCTAACTGCTTCATGCTTTACTCACAAAACTTCACTCTCAGGTAAGCAGGATAACTTAAGGAAAGTTACAAAGGGAAACTAATGACCATTTTCATCTGCTAGAGATGTGTGATGCCAGAGAGAGGACCCCTTAAACAGAACTAGTGGGAGGAAAGAGTGAGAAATAATAACAGAATAGTGCATATAATTATAAACCAGTTGTTCTTCATTTTAATATCTTTTCTGCATTGAATTAGCATAATTTTTCACTAAAGACAAGCAAACCAGATGAAAGGAAACTTATTTTGCTTCGACATATTAAAAACAAAAAGTACAACCTATGCTCACACAGGTCAGTCTTCTAAAGAATGTACAGAGGGAAGATGCTGACAAATTATTTATCCAAGTTCATCCTCAGAGCACTGGAGTTCAGAAACTTGCACTGTGCCACACTTTTGGGTAAGGAAATAGTTGTTAAAGGTTGACTATTTTTATTCCTTTCTTTCCTCATTAGCATAATTTTGATGCAGCCCTGAATGGGTCAAATTTGGTGTTCTCCTCTCACATGCTAGAACAATTGTTTGTTTGTTTTTTAATAAGCCAGGGAAGACTTGAAAAGCTGCCAGTAGATTGGAAATCAGTTGAGGGGTCCTGTACAACACAAAATTTCAATAGTCTTAGCTGGAAGGGATTAATTAGATTTGGATTAATTATGAAGGAGAAGGATTTTGAATAATATTACGGTGTAGTGGAATAAACAAGGGAAGGTTGTCAAGCTACAATTCTGGAAGCCGTGCAGCTGAAGACCTTCACTACCTTGGAAAAATTTGCCATAATTTAAGGGGTGTTTGAGAGTTAAAGATGATAAAAAAAAAAACAAAAAGAAATGTAGGCAGAGGGCTAATGGATCAGGGTCAGGATTGTAATGAAATGTGAGCTGTTCTGGGACAAGCATTGCCCAGTTTTCAAAATGTTCCATTGACCTTGTTCTTCACCAGAAGACTGTCCAGGAAAGACTCTTGAGTAGAGGTGTCTGGGCTGCTAGTAAAAATATTAATGAATATAAACCCAATGGATAGAGTAGGCTGAAAGTTCTCAGAACATCTCATTCATGGCTTTACCCTACCATCTATTTTAGAACATGGAAGGCATGCAAAAAAACCATTAAGGAGGTGGGGGAAGTGGGAGAGGGCAAGGGGAGGGTAAATGGTGATTGAAGGCTTGGGGTGATGAACACACAATACAATATACAGATGATACAGAATTGTATACCTGACACCTATATAATTTTATTAATCAATGTCACATCAATAGATTAAAAAAATAAAAAAGATGTAGGGCAAAAAAGAAACCATTGAAAAAATGAACAAATTATCTTCAAATAAAACCAAGAAGTTATTTAGCATGTCCACACTCCTGAGCAATTAAGTTTCCTAGGCTTTAGTTTACACAGCTTGGAAATAAGGGGGAAAAGATTAAAATACTAAAACATTAAAACTTCTAAAATCCCTTTGAGTTCAAAACTCTGGATTTTTCTTCCTTTCTCCATTACATCTTTTCTTTTTACAACCAAAGAAGAGTCAGTTTGTGGGTCATTATCAGAGGTGAATGGAGTGCTGTCACTTGAAGGATGTTAGGCCATTTATTATCTCAGGTACTACAGAACTCTAGAAAATACCCACATGAAACAAAGTACGATCTTATGTTTCACGTTTTAACAATCCCAAGTGATTAATGAACCTTTGGTAGGTGAAAACAACACTGTATCTTTTCATTTCTAAATACTCACAATGAGAAAAAGAGGTTATACGTTATTTAACACTGCATTTCTCAGTTATTAGCTAATTTCCATTTTATTGTGAAAGCTAATAACAATGAACATTGTATGTTTTTGCATTGTGTTGAATTATTCTTACACTACCACAAGCACAATTAGCAAATCAGTGAAGCAAGTAATCTTCAGATGTATGTAAAAAACTTTTACAGATATAAAGGCGGCCCTGGCTGGTGTGGCTCAGTGGATTGAGCTCCAGCCAGCAAACCAAAGGGTCACCAGTTTGATTCCCAGTCAGGGCACATGCCTGGGTTACCGACCAGGTCCCCAAAAAGGGGCACAGGAGAGACAGCCACACATTGGTGTTTCTCTCCCTCTGTTTCTCCCTCCCTTCCCCTCTTTAAAATAAATAAATGAAATCTTAAAAAAAGATATAAAAGTGCCCTGGCCAGGTGGCTCAGTTGATTGAAGCATTGCCCCATATACCAAAGGTTGCAGGCTTGATCCCTTGTTAGAGCACATACCTAGGTTATGGGTTTGATCCCCAGTCAAGGCATGTACAGGAGGCAACCAATGTTTCTCTCTCATGTTGATGTCTCTCTCTCTCTTTCCCCTTCTTCCCCTCTCTCAAAAGCAATAAAAACATATCCTCAGGTGAGGATTAAAATTTTTTAAGTAAAAATATAAGAGCAATACAATAATGGCATTAAAGAAAGTTTTATGAATTTAAAACATTTTCATTTCACATGTAAATATTTATACACAGTTTTATTAATAATGTAAGATTTCATGTTTTAACCAAGGGTGATTTTACCTCCCTGGGGACATTTGGCAATATCTGGAAACATTTTTGATGGTCACACCTGGGGATGGACTAGGGGGATGGGAGGCAGTGATACTGACATCTAGTAGGTAAAGGCCAGGGATGCTGCTGCCAAACATCTACAGTACACAGAGCAACCCCCACAGCAAAGAATTATCTGCAAAAAATTACCCAGCCCAACTGTCAGTAATGTCAAGGGTGAGAAACTTGCTTTACAGTAAAAAAGCAATGTCTTTTACAGCTATATGTCCCCATGATTTTAATACAGGGTTTATGTTTTCAACCATTTATTGAGTAGCTATGTATGCTAGACTGTATGCTAAGCACAATATGCACATTATCTTATTTAATGCTAACAAAATCCTGTGAGGTTTTGAAGGTTAATACATGATGTTTCAAAAAAATTACACAACTGTTGGTCACACAGCCAGTAATAGTAGATAGTGATTTGAAATGCCTTCTGTTTGACTTAAAAGCCTGTGCTGTTAGCATGTATAAATAATGTCATAATAAACATTTTCATATACAGATTTTAACACTTTAAGAATTATTTCCTGATTTTCCTTCATTTAATGTGGGGCAAGGTTGCTTCCTGCCTATTTTAAGTAAATGTTTCAAACAATGTATGATGAAAGCTTAGGGTGGTGTGGACCACTTATATTTAGAAGCTGAGGTGTTTTCTTTTTAATAAGTTGAAAACAGTTTAATTTAAAAGATGTTTTTGCTGGTTGGTAGAGACACACTGTGAGTCCAGCAGAGGTGCTGGGATCTTGGTAGGGCTCACTATGGAGCAGTTGTTGAGCTGTACTAAATCTTCACTGTGGACTACTTTGCAGGATTACAGTCAGAACTTCCAACAGGTTTTCCAATGCCCATGATGGCGGCAGAGTGGGTGGATACTACATTCACTTCCTCCCAGGACAAAATTGGAATTACTAAATTATAGAACAATCATCTTTTTTAAAAAAATTATTTTTGGAGAGAAGGGAAGGAAGGGGGAAGAGGGAGAGAAACATCAATGTGTGCTTGCCTCTTGTGTGCTCCCCACTGGGGACCTGGCCTGCAACCCAGGCATGTACACTGACTGGGAATTGAACTGGGGACCCTTTGGTTCACAGGCTGGTGCTCAATCCACTGAGCCACACCAGCCAGGGCCAGAAAAATCATCTTGAATAACCAGCTGAAGACTAGCTGAAAAGAAGTCTCATAACCAAGGATTTCCAGAAGGCTATGGCAAGAGACAAAGGACACTATGTAATGATGAAGGGAACAATCCAACAAGAAGACATAACCCTAATAAACATTTACACATCCACCATAGGAGCAACTAAATATGTAAAACAAATCTTGATGGACTAAAGGGAGAGATGAACAGAAATATAGTTGTAGTTGGGGATTTTAACTACTGATTTTGATGGATAGATCTTCCAGACAAAAAATCAACAGAGACAATGGCCTTAAATAACACACTCAATCAAATGGATTTAATTGATATCTTTGGAGCATTTCACCCCAAATCACAGAATATACATTCTTTTCAAGTGCACATGGAATATTTTCCAGGGTAGATCACATGTTAGGACATAAAACAAGTCTCAATATATTTAAGATGACTGAAATCATATCAAGCACCTTCTCTGACCAGATGGTATGAAACTAGTTATCAATCGAAGAAAAAAACTGAAAAACACCCGAACACATGGAGGCTAAACAACATGTTCCAAAACAATGAATGGGTAACAATGTGATCAAGGAAGAAATAAAAAGATACCTTGAAACAAATGAAAACTATAACACAACAACTCCAAATCTATGGGACACAGAAAAAGCAAGGCTAATAGGGAAACTCATAGCATTACAGGTCTGTCTCAAGAAACAAACAAAAAAAACTCATATAAATAATTGAAATTTACACTTGAAAGAGAACAAGAAAAGTTCAAAGGGTGTAGAAGGAAGGAAATCATAAAGATCAGAGCAGAAATAAATGATACAGAGTCTGAAAAATATATAAAGATGAATGAAACCAAGAGCTGGTTCTTTGAAAAGATAAACAAGATTGACAAACCTTTAACCACACTCATCAAGAAAAATAAGAGAGAAGACCTAAATAAATAAAATCAGGAGTGAAAGAGAAATAACAACTGACACCAAAGAAATACAAAGAATTGTAAGAAAATATTACAAACAACTGTATGCCAACAAATTGGACCTGGACAAAATGGATAATACCTAGAAACCCACAATCTTCCAAAACTGAATCAGGGAGCCTCAGAGAATCTGAATTGACAGATGACAACTACTGGAATTGAAGCAGTAATTTAAAAACTCCCAACAAATAAAAGTCCTGGATCAGTGGCTTACAGGTAAACTTTATCAAACATTCAAAGAACTAACACCAATTCTTCTCAAACTATTCTAAAAAATTCATGAGGATGGAATATATGCACCCCTCTGTTCATTAAAGTGTTATTTATAATCACCAAGATTTGGAAGCAGCCCAAGTGCCCATCAGTAGATGATAGTAGATGAGTGGATAAAAAAGCTGTGCTGCATCTACACAAGGGAATACTACTTGACTCTAAAAAAGAAGGAAATCTTATCTTTTGTGACAGCATGGAGAGCATTATGGTAAGTGAAATAAGCCAGTCAGAGAAAGACAAGTACCATATGATATCAGTCATGTGTGGGATCTAATGAATAAACTGAACAACCAAAATAGAGATAGACTCACAGATAGAGAGCAGGATGACAGCTGTCGGGGTTGGGCTGTGTCATATATTCTTTCAAGTTAGTGTTTCTGGTTTCTTCAGATAAACTCCCAGAAGTGGAATCACTGGGTCATAGGCAGTTCCATTTTTAATTTTTTGAGGTTACTCCATGCTGCTTTCCACAGTGGCTGCACCAACCTGCATTCCCACCAACAGTGTACAAATGATGTGTTATAGTATTGTACACATGCAACCTATATAACTTTATAAACCAGCATCACCCCAGTAAATGCAATAAAAAGTAGAAAAAAGAAATTATTTTCTTAGCATTTACAAAACTATTGGTTTAAAAGGTTAAAGGGAATTGGCAATTATGGTGGTTTTTCCTACCTTGTTTTCAAATTAACTCTCCAGAGTTGTACCATTTCACAACACTACCATTTAATTGTGAGAAAATCTCTCAATAAACTGACATCAGCATTGACTTTTGACATTTAAAAACAAAATTCTGTGTTTATTTAATAAGTCAAAAAGTACATATCTGAGCCTAAATAATTAGGAGTTGCTAGAATTTGTTACCAGATATATGTCTCCCCAAATGAGAGCCACACTGTGTAAGAAAAATAAGAAAGTCAAATCAATATAAATAAAGCTTATTTTTCAAAGAATCATCTTCATTTATTCAACAAATGAAGTTATTTGACTAATAAAGGCTGAGCCCCAAGAAAAACATTTCTGGTTACTCTGTAAACTTTATCTCAAATCTTTTGTTTAAATAAGCCTATGAAGAGAAAGTAGGAGAATTGGACTTTATAGTTTAAAATGTTGGTGTGTCCTTTTTGCCACATCCCAGGAAGAATAAAAAATAGATCTTTCCTAGGATACTTGTGAATTGAGGGTAGACTATTACCCATACACCTCACTAGAATCTACCTTCCTAGAATCTTGACGGTCAATAATTATAATCATAACAGCTATAATAATAATATAGTCATCTAGTCCAGGATTTTTAAAATAGTAGTTGCATCCCATTAGTGGATCCAGAAATCATTTTAGTAGGTTTTGTCTAGTGTTTTTAACATGAGGCTAGACCAGAAAATAATGTAAAATAAGCAAGTGCATTGCATGTAATAAGCCTAAGAATTATTTTGTAAAACTTTTGTTTGCACTTTGAGTGTATGATGGTGGTTTGCAGTCTGAAAGGTTGAAAAACCACTGATGTAATCTGCCTACTTCACTTGAAAGGTGAGCCTGAGTGACACTAAATGATATACAAGGATACAGAGCTGGTTAACGACAAAGCTGGGCTGAAAACTAAGTTCCTCAATTCCATGGCCAGTCTCTATCCCATCATGGGGTTTGCTGAAGGCAAATCTCTCAAAGAAAAACAAGAAACAGTTAGGCTTAGTAGATGCTGGTATGGAATAGAAGGAACAATTGATGTTGGCACAGGTGGTGGGATCAGTAGCTTTGGGTCTCCGAGTATCTTTTCATTCAAGCCAAATTAAATTACTTACGCAATGTATAATGGGTACACTTTACATTTAAGTCATTCAATCTTTTGCTTGCCATTATCTCTTCAAAATAACAACCAAGTGAGGCCCACACATTATCTGAACTGAGCTGTCACCAGAAATCTTCAGTGTTTTTCTCCCCACTGAGCTCATTGTACCAGGCAGGACAGATGTGGGGAATAAGATGACTGATGGCCACCTTGGCTATTGCCAGAGGGCAAGCTGGCACAGGTTGGCTCTCACTGAAAGAGTAGAAGAAATACATTTAGATACTGAGAAGTAGAACATTATTTCACCATAAATTATGGTGGCCTATTGGGAAGCCAAGGCAGCAACCAGGTCTGTCTGATCCACACATGAGCTGAGTGGTCCTCACCATCAGCACTAAAGACTGAGTTGATGGGACAACCCTTTGTGCCATACTCATCTATTCATTCCTCTAACATTGATCCAGTGTTTCCTGAGGGCCAAATGCTGTGACGTGAAAGGCACTGTGAGGACTGAACTTCTGCTCAACAAGACTTCTCCCCATAACAGCTGGGCCGATTGTCTTCAAAGAGCTGATTTGAGAGGTACATTAAAATGCACATATTTGATATATTCCTGCAGTTGGTCAAGTTTGTTACATTAATCAAAGGATGTAAAGGCATGTAGCACCAGATTTCTTCATATCAGTAGAATTTGATGGAGAATAAGAGAGTGAGTCTAACTCAGAAACTTGATGAAAGCTGAGAGGACTTCAAGGAGAGAAGGAAAAGGATCTGTGTCCTCTTCACAGCATTGATGATTGTCCAGAACTTTTGAGACTTGGTAATGCCTAGGAATCCTCTGGGGAGCTTATGGAGATGTTCATTCTGGTGCAGGAGGTCTGGATGGGACCTGAGATTCTGCATTTCTAACAGGTTCCCAGATGATGTGTCCTGGCAAAGAACCACTCTGGAAAAGCAAGGCTTCGTGTCCATTTCTGGAGACATTTCTGTGTCTCAGTATTATTTGTAAAAAGAGACAAACTGGAATTCAACTTAATGCTTCTGCTTTGAAAAATGTCATGTTTTATGCACAAACATGAATAATATTTAAACAGACAAATTTAAGATTTGTCATCAAAAAGAAAGTATAGAAGTTGAGGTTTGAAATTTTATTAGTAGGAGGTTAATAGGTATTATGTGTTTATTTTAAAAACACCAGTCATTAATTATGAATGTCACTATTTTATCTCCAGAATAATGGAATGTGATTCTGAGGAAGAATCAGTTTGTGTTGATCAATGTCAGTGAGAATGACAGAAGAAGAAAAATATCTTGTTCTTTTAAACGTGTAATCAGTGAAAAGAGTGTAAGGGACCTTTCGCCATGGCACTGTTTTATTCACACTTTTCTGCTGCAGGTATTTAATTGGGATATTAATCCAATCTTGCTGACATGAATAAATATACTAAGTTACCTTTTTGTTTTCCAGACTGCCCTCTCCCCACCCCATCTTAACCAAGGCAAGCTTTATTCCAAATTTTTTTTAAATATGTGCTGAGAACAAAACAAAGAAGCTACTTTGGGGATAGGCAAACACATAAATGAATTTTTAAGTATTGAATGTAAATCAAAACAGAGGGAAGAAATATTGCTTAATAAGTAGCATTTTTCCCAAATATTTCACATGCATGAGCAAAGTTTCCAAGTTTGGCAGCCAGAAGAGAATATTGACTTGTACAAAGTCCTTAGGGGTAAAGACTCATGCTATTTTACAGGAGTGTTGTGCAGAATTTAATTTTAGTTGGGAAACTTCCGTACAATTCTGGATTTATATCATTATATAATTATCATGAGGCATCAGGACAAAAGAACAGAGCCTTTTTTTCTTCTGAAAATACACGTTTTTGTTTATATTCTTAAAGAGGAAATACTTTTATATGCCTATCCAATTAAACTTTAAAAAATATTAGTCATGTCTAATTTTTTTCCTTGTTAAAAAACATCCATCATCTTGGGTCACTTTTTCTTATTAGCATGTATTTAGTTTTCTATTTGCCACCATAATAATTTCCCACAAATTTATCAGCTTAATGAACATAAATGTGTACGGTTTGGTAGGTCACAGGTCCGAGATGGGTCTCACCAGGCTAAGATCAAAGTGTTGATGGGGCTGTTTCTTTCTGTGGGTTCTGGACAGGATCTATTTCCTATGTCTTCCATCTTCTAGAGACCCCTGCATTCCTTAGCTCCTTCCTTAATTTTTAAATGGCAAAGACGAGTTGAGTCCTCATATCACACCAATGCAGTCAATTCTCCTGCCTCCTTCTTTTATTGTTAAAGACCCTGTGATTACATTGGACCCACCTGGATAAATCAGGCTACTCTCCCTATTGCCCAGTTTAAAGTCAGCTGAGTAGCAACCTTAGTTCCCCTTTGCCACGTAAAACACAGCATATTCTCAAGTTCCAGGAGTGAGGATGCAGAGTTCTTTACATGTATGAGTATGTTTGGGGAGGGGAGCCATTATTCTGCCTACTGCAGTATGTCTTATCAATATTTAAGGTCTAAAAAGAAAGGACTGTTGCAATTTGAATACAGATATCACTTGTGTAATGCCATTACATCAAAATTATGTTCAGATCAAACTTCTCACTGGTGAAAAGTGCTGTGGCTCTTTTGAAGTAAAAGATTCCTCCTCTAGTTGCATTTGCATTGATTCCCATATACTCCTTTTCCAGTAATGAAAATCTTGGGGTATAACTACCCCATATGATTAAATAAATGGACCCTTTTTTTCTGGGAACTATCCAAAATGTAATGAGATGAAGAGGGTTATTTGAGGTAGCTTAGCACAGTGTTTCTCAAACAGGGCAATTTTGCTCTCCCAGGGGATATTGGACAATGTCTGAACATTTTTTATTATTACAGTTAGAGGGTATGTATTATTGGCCTCTAGTGGGTGCAGGTCAGGAGTGCTGCTAAACATCATGCAATGCGCAGGACAGGACCTACAACAACGGATTATCCAGCTAAAAGTGTCAATCAATAATACCAAGTTAGAGAAATCTTCGCTTAGCAAGATGACAACCTAAAACTCCCTCCACCCCCTTTTTTTACTATTTTTAAAAAAGATTTTATTTATTTTTTTAGAGAGAGAAGAGAAGGGAAGGAGAAAGAGAGGGAGAGAAACATCAATGTGTGGTTGCTTCTCACGCATCCCCCAATGGGGACCTGGCCTGCAACCCAAGCATGTGCCCTGACTGGGAATTGAACCAGCAATCCTCTGGTTCACAGCCTGAGCTCAGTCGACTGAGCCACACCAGCCAGGCCTCCCTTCCCCTTTTTAAGGGTAATTGTTTATGTTTCAAAACAGGCCAGCAAAAGCATTTGGTCAAAGACCAACTGAAAGAAATAGAGATGAGTGGATCAGTGTACACCAATCTTATAGGAAAAACTCAAAGCTCAAAACCCATTGTTTGGGATAGACAATTCATCATTGTTATTGGGTAGTCAGGAATCGTGTCTGGTTTCTCTCTGTCCCCAGTTCTCAGCACAGTGCTTGTCAATACCAAATGCTCAAGAAGTACATAAAAAAGAAACTATAGTGTGTTAAAAGATTTGTTTATGAGTTCTAAACGTAGTGAATAAGATGTCTTCCTTCTGTATGCCTAATACTGCAACTCCGTATAAGAGCAACCATGAAATTGCTCTCTTATCAGCACTAAGAACCTAGAGTAGCCTGCTTCCTGGTCCTTCACTATAAGATAGAAGCAGCCTAGAAAGTCCTAAAAGAAATTTAACATTAGCATTTAAAGTAAGTTTAGTTAAAAGCCATTGAGACACCAAAACTCCCCAACTTTCTCTTCTACATCTTGGTTTTACACTACAATATCTCTTAAGTTCTGCTTTTCAGGCTTGATCACACACTATGAAAATCAGTAGACTGTTTTTACTGGTGGCAAGGCCAGGCTCATAACCACTGACCATTCATGTCATAAGCCTTTAGGGTCTTGCAACAATGATGAAAAATCTGATGTGAAAGATAACACTGAAAGAAAATGACTTGTGGGGTTAACTGATGAAATTGACACCCTTCTCTCTTGGTTCTTGTTTATGCTTTTCTTTTTTATCAATATTGCAGGTGTCCCTGGCTCCATGCCAAATGCATCATGGACTGGTAACCTCAGAGCCGTCAAGTGGATTGACATGGAAGATAAACACGGAGGTTGCCATGGTGAGGCATTTGTTTTACACTTTGAGGCTATGCCCCTTGTTGGTGCTGGCATGAAGACAGTTATGGAATACAGGGTTCTGACTGAGAAAACTGCTGGTATCTTTAGACCTATCAGTGGGTTATTAGAAGAGTAGCTAGAGGCTTTAAGACACAGTCCTTGAAAAGTAAATTTAAGCATTTCACTGACCTTGTCCAGATAGGTTCAAATTATAATGGTACTTTCCTCTTGCTAGTTTCTGCTCTCTTTTTATTGTTTATTTCTCTTTTTGTTCTTTTTGAGAGTGCAGCAGTCAGGAGAGGAAAGTGGTCAGGGTGCATAGTGATGGCATGCCATCACCATGGAGCAGGCTGGACTCCCACCCATCACGTCAGCCTCTGCTCTCTCCACAGGCAGGCTTCCAGTTGGGAGGTGTTTGCTGTAGCTCCAGCATGATGGCAGGTGACACCAATGAGAGATTTCTCTTCCAATGGATAAGAACTTGAAATTTTAAGTAGTTTCATTTCTGTAGAATCTTACGAAGAAGGGTTATTATCAGTCCTGATACATTTCATTCAAACTATTGCCGGTTGCATGGTAGGCATGTGTATTTGTCTGCTAGGGATAACAAAACAAATTCATTTTATACATTACCACAGACTGGGTGGCTTACACAAAGTAAATTTATTCCCTCGTTGTCCTGGAAGCTAGAAATCCAAGAGCAAGGTGTCCTCAGGTTTGGTTTCTTCGGAGGCCTTTCACCTTGGCTGATAGATGGCCATCTTCTCCCTGTCTCTTCACATGGTCATCCCTCTGTGTGTGTCTGTGTCCCAATCTCTTCCAGTAAGGACACCAGTCATACTGGACTAGGGCTTACTCATATGACCTCATTTTAATTTAATTACCTGTTTCAGTATCGCCACAGTCTGAGGTATTGGGGGTTAGGACTTCAACATATGAATTTGTGGGAGGGGACACAATTCAGTCCATAATAGCACACAATTAAGATGTATTCAGTGAGTGAGTGATTAAGTGAGTGAACCAATGAGAGAATATGGAAGTTTGACATTTTTTCACTGAAAAAATGAGGCTTTTCTTCCTCCACCCTTCTATTGAATCCATGGCTTCACTGACTAGTCCATCTTATCCACACCTAATTGTAGATTGCTGCTTTTCTACACCTCTCCATTACTCAACCTCATTCTTATGAGTCCCCTCCCACTGTGGATGGCGATGTCCTCACATCACTGTACAGAAATTTCAATCCATTCTTTAGCACATTCATACATTTACCTTAATTATCCTACATTTTCTCCAGGGGGCAGTTCTTGCCACCTGCCTTCATTCTCATCATGGCCTGCCTGTCTACTGGAAGGAGGAGAATGGGGAGGAGATTGCTTTGCTCTTAGAAAATGGACCATCACTGTCAGTCGGAGCCCCAATATTTGGGATATGTGTCTTCTCCACATCCTTCTATAACCCCTATTATCCTCCCTCTAGAACCACTGCAGTCATCCTCTGATCTGCTTTTCCATCTTCTCTCCAGTTGCAACCCCTGAGGACTTCTGCATCCACAATGGGGACCCATGTTGCATTCCTTTGCAGCTCTAGCCTGCCCCCACCATAGAAGCTCCCATTCCCACTGCACAGCAGCCATGCCCACCCCGCAAGTTGAGCCTTACCTCAATCTCCTTGTCACCACCTTTATCCAGGTCCTACCCCAGCATAGAGGGTATAGGCTAGTCACGTTTGCATTTTTGTAGGAACCTTTACTGATCATGTGGCAGGTGTGGCCATGAGCGTAGCCTCTGGCCAGGAACCTACACTGGGTACAAAGCTTGGGTAGTCTAAGCCCCTCTCAGACAAATATCTCGCTTTTCTTCTCTTGGTACCTGTTATGCCAGTGAACACCTGAAAGTCTTATCAGGTTCAGAGCATAGAAATTTTTTGTCCCCCAAACCTCCATAGAGGAAAAAGAAAGGAGCATAACCCAAAGGAAGTAGAATATTACATGTCAAATCAGCAAGTCAGTAATACAATCTGGACCTTTCCCCTTGGCAGCGAGTAATAGGATTTGTTCTAAACCCATGTGCATACATACTTTGTAAACCCTCTTAGCACTTAGAATCACAGGGTACCATTTAACTCTATGGTCTTGAACTTAGAGCTCTCATCTCTGATTGCAATCTCTTTGTTACCCTACTAATTTCCTTTACCAATTTACATACCATATGTATTTACTTTTTCCCAAGAACAGAATAGAAACTCCAAGAGGGCTAACATTTTTGACCAAAGTGTTCATTGCTATATCCCTATGTTAAATATGTTGGTTTTTGTTGTTGTTTTAAATGTGTTTGCTTTTTTAAAATTGGGATTTCCAGAGGTTCAACTTTTCCGCTTCTTCCTTTTACTAGTTTCCTTCCAAGGACTCCTTGTCCGGTTTGTGTACTCTGTCAGCCATCCCATGCTGTTTCCACTAACATTTTAGGTTCCCTTGCCACATGACCCTACAAGGCTGATTCCTGCCCTTAATTATTACCGTCACCCGCTTTTTGCCACTTGTGTTTCCCTAAACAGAACATTGCTGGCGAATGGTTAAGGGACCTGCCATCTAACCAGCTAGGTGCTCTTGGCTGCCTACTTATCCTTTTATTTACCTCATTATTTTCCTGGTGTCCTTCTTTCCTGCATACACTATTTTGGCTTTCCTGCTCACCTTTAAACTCTCAATTTTATGCTAAACCAACCTTTCCACTATCAAAAAATGAACATTTAAGCTCTAGGAAGAACTTTTAAGACATTTCATCAAAATGTCCTTATCAATTACTTTTTCGTATCATCCTTTTACTCCATCTTAGAGTATTTTGGGTACATTCTTTTATTGTTCTCTCCTGGTTCAAGAGGAAAAGTTACCCATCCTCACAACCGAGGTCACCATCTGTGGTCTCAGTTATGTGTGGGTCCCCTTAAATTATCTTCTTGATCTCTTGCATCCCCAGTGTCTTCCCCTCTGCTGATTCTTTTCCTTCTCTCTGGTAGTATGTACACTGCAAGTATCACCTCTATCCTGAAGACCGAGTTGTCTGTATACCCCCTGCTTGATACAAACGAAGTATTCTCTCCTGTTCACTTGCATTTTCTTAAGCATGGATATGTTGCCTATGTACTCAGTTCCTCTCACCACCAAATTATTCTTATACCTCTTACCCAGGTATTCTTTAACTTCTCACCACTCTGGCTGCTTTCCCCAGTGACTTCACTCTCTATTATACTTCCTCCCTGTCATGCTGAATTAATCATCAAGACCTGTCAGTCCTTATGTGTTCAGTCTCTAATATCCTTTCTTTCCCACTTACGGCAACCATCAGCTTTGAATGACCTTTCTGGTTTCCATTAAGTTGGTAGTATCTTGATCAATTTCTAATGTACCCTGCAAAGGTCTGCAATATTAATCTTACTAAAATGAATTTCATTATTTGGTTCTTCTGTTCAAAAATCTTTTGATTCTTCACAATTATTGGATAAAAAAGGCTCAAGCCTTTAGTCTGCTTTATGCCAGTCATCCATAGTAGTTCTATTATATGCCAAGAACCCTTGAAGAAAAATTCCAACTTCTTACCATTCTTGTTTCTAACCCATTCCCCCAATAAAACTCCCTATTTTAGCAGAAAATTCCTGCCTTGACACTTTTTTCAGAGGCATTTTTCTCCAACTGAAACCACCTGATGTTTGCTACTTCTACCCATCTGCTAATTCTCCACCCATCCTTTTATTAAAAAATTATGAACTTAACACCTAATATTTGTCAGGCTCTGTTCCAGATGCAGAGGACATAGAAGTGAACAACCTGAAATTCCAGCTCTTCTGGAGCTCATATTCTTACCTGGGGAGAAAGACAATCTTAACAGTTCTCTGTTAAGGAAGACAATAAAAAAAGTAGTATTTTTCTTCATGGCACTGCTTATACATAAAGTGAGAAAAGAAAAATTAATCAGGGAAGGAGAAAAGGAGATCAAAGACACCCTCACTGAGAAGATGGCCTGGAAGCAGAGATCTGGGGTGGTGAGAGCAGGAGCCTTGAGGATGTCTGGGGAAAGGGGGCAGTGCAGGGGAGGGAAAGCAAACAGGGATTCTCAAGTAGAGCATGCCTGGTGTGCTTGGGGCCAGTAAGGAGGCCATTGTGTCCATAAGGGTGAGCAGTGGTTATTAAGGGTTATAAGTGATTGAGCAAGTGGTGGAGGTAAGTCCAGATTACAAGGGGCTAGACTCTGAGAAGTCTTAAATGCCATTGCTAGGATTTTGGCTTTTATTCCACATGAGATGAGAAGCCATTGAAGCAGAAGAGACATGGCTGATATGCTGAGAATATACAAACTGGCAGAGGTGGAGGCAGTGGAAACCAGTTATTATTGCAACAACTCAAGACAGGAAGAGGGAGATGGCTTAGAACAGGATGGGAGTAGTAGAAAAGTAGTCAAATTTTATTAGTATTTTGAAAGTTGAGCTGACAGAATTGCTGACAGATTGAATGTGGGGTGTGAGAGAGGGGAGAAGTGCTCAAAGCACCAAACAATAGAATTGCTGTGGATCTTGACGAGGAAGACTTGGACAGGATTAAGGAATGCAGTCCTGACGTGTTGTATTGGCTGGGTTTATTACTCATCGAGGCATTTAGACAGACTAGGCCAGAGCTCCAGGAAGCAGCCTGACCAGGGCAGCCCATAAAGACATCTGTACACCTCTGGAACTTCTCATCCCTGTCTTAATTTGATAATACATGAATTGCCTCATGATGCCTAGTGTGTTATTGCTTTGTGTTGTTTAACTCTCATTGTCTTCAAATATGTATTTGTACCATTTGTTTTTCTATAAAGAATTGAACTTCTTTGTAGGCTGGACTGACACAATTATGTTTCATTAGAATCTCACAGCACTTGGCTCAGTTTTAGATACTCAGTAGTCAGGCACTAGCTCTTCCACTGTGCAAGTTCACTACCCCTGACTTTTGAAACTAAGCATGTTTTGACTGTGTCTTGTTCTCTCCTTTGCAGGCCACTATGTCCATGGCATTTGTATCTATGGAAATGGAGATTTAAAGTGGCTGATTAATTCACCAAGCCTTTTTGCTAACAAGTTTGAACTTACTACGTACCCCCTTACTATAGAATGCCTAGAATTGAGACTTCGAGAAAGAACCCTAAATCAGAGTGAAACTGCAATACAACCCAGCTGGTATTTTTGATCTACTGTAACTCATGACTAAAGGGAAATCGCAATTGGGAGGAAGAGCCTTTGTGAGAAGACTTTGCTTGGTTAACATTTTAAGGACTGAGGTTATGGCTTCAGAACCTGGCTACTCTAACACATGTTACAATATCCACTGGACACTGTGAAACACATTAACAGGAAGGCTGCATGGAGCGATCCTGGCACTTTGGCCACTCTGGCTGTTTCTAGATGCTCACCTCTTTGTTTGTTGTTCTGATCAAGGATCAGTGTAAGTGCTCTCATATCTTTACATCAGATAGTCATCATATATAAATGTTCTAATCAAAAGGAGGATTGTAGGTAATATAACTTAGGAAAATAAGGACTGGGTTTCTTTGAAGAAGCAATCATTTATAACAGATCTATAGTCACATATTAATGGACACCGTTCTTTGCTCAGCTGCACATAGACATATAAGCAGCTTTCAGGGTAACTCACCTATCTTCTCTAATACTTGAGCTACTAGAACTGAAAACTAGATCCTGTTCCTGACTTTTAAAACTAGCATTTTCAGTTTACTTGTCTGAAGTTCTGTATAGAATAGACAGTAATTAGGAGACAGAATGTGTTTTAAGACAGCAGTCCCTGCCAGGTGCTTCAGTAAAAGGACTTAGGAGAACAGAATATTTCTCAATTTTGTCAGAACGTGACCTGATACCTCAAAATTAATCACTTTCCTCTTCGTCACCACCCTCTCAACTCCCATCAAAGTTCTCTTACTTGCAAAATGGAAACCAAATTCTATCCATAGTGTTTTCTGAGCGGCTTACAATGCCTGGTGCTGATAAGAATGCCTAGGCGTTTAAGAGCTTTCATTTGTGGTTGAGCATCTGTCTCATTTATCCCTTGTCCATTCATTCATCCAATTCATTCAGCATACAGTCAATAAATATTTCTTGAGTGTCTAGTATATACTATACACGTGCAGAGACAAAGCAGGAAAATTAAGACAGAAGCTTTTTCACTCTAAAAATCTCGATAATAATGTTAACATTGGAAAGACTGCTGTAGAGAACCTTAAATAATTGTTGTATTTTAATACATTCATATGTAGGATTGTAGATTGTGATATCAGTAATTACAAATTGAGGCTTAAATCAGAGATTATTTGAAAGAACAGAAGGAGGAGACAGAAGCTAAAAAGCCTATTGTGTTCAAGGCATTCTGCTAGCTCACCGTTCAAACCTCACAACCCTCCTGTGAGATCCTCATTATTTATCCCCGTGTTGCAGATGAGGTCAGTGAGGCTTAGAGAGGCTGTTGCTAAGCACTAAGAAACACATTCCTGCCTGACAGTTGGGATTCTCCTACTAGTCTTAGTTCATTTCCTGAGGTAGAATATTAGAGAAGGTGAAATGTAGCCATATTTACTGTACCAGAGAAGGTAGGTTTTAGGAATGATCTCAGTGTTAAAATTGAGAAAAGTTCCCATCACCTCAGAACAATGTGAAGTCCATGTTTGTATTACACTGATCTATTGAGTTCCTCAATATTTATTCTGATGAAAAACATTTACTACAACTAATGATGCATTTAATTAATGTAATTTTCCCCTTTATTCTATAATTGTACCTGTTGAAAGTTAATCATATTTAAAGGGAGTGACTGAAATAAAGCTTTCTTTGCTCCTGCTGCTTAAAGGGATGGAACTATATTGGGAGATGAAGGGCTGAGTGGAGGGAATACAGCAAGAACTAATGACAGAGTCCTTTTTCAACTTATTCAAATGACACCACCTGAAAAGAAGAAATGTTTTACACTGGATCTTTCTCACATAGAATGAGAAATCTTTTGGAATAGATGTTTACATGTTCATTGCTGGTCATGCCTCCTGTGTCTTTAATACTTTAACATTGGAAGAGTGTAGTGTTGGGCTAGTGGGTTTCTCCTCCTCGTGGAGATGCCCCCAAACTACTGAATCTGTGTTTGATTTCAGTAATGTTCCACATTGTTTCCTTGGAAATAAATTAATATATTGTTTTCCACCTTTGGGGCTGTTGTGTATTTTTAGTTGACGGTTGGTTAATATCCACCACATAGCATGTTTTACAAGATAATTCTCCTAGCATTTAAAAATACATAAATAAACATATTTATACATACGCAAATACTTGTCTAAAAAATGTCCATCCACTGAAAAATAATTAAACTTTCCCTTTTTGGAGTGTTGGGGAGAGTTTTGAGAATGATAGGAAAGACCTGACTGGTGTGGCTGAGTTGCTTGGGTATTGTTCTGTAAAGTATAAGGTCACTGGTTCAATTCCCGGTCAGGGCACATGCCTGGGTTGCAAGCTCTGTCCCCAGTCTGGGTACGTACAAGAAGCAACTGATCAATGTTGTTTTCTCACATCAATGTTTTTCTACCTCACTTTCTCTTTCCCTCCCCCTCTCTCTAAAAATAAATAAAATATTTTTAAAATATGGACAAGAATATTAGGGAAGAGAGTATAATGGAAAATCAATTTTATTTAAGTTGGGTACAACTATTTTAAAATTTTAGGCAGGCATAAGTTATTTTTCTATATATACCTGCTTTATTAATTTTTTTTAAAGATTTTATTTATTTATTTTTAGAGAGGGAAGAGAGGGAGATTGAGAGAGAGAAAGAAACATCAATGTGTGGTTGCTGGGGGCTGTGGCCTGCAATCCAGGCATGTGGCCTGACTAGGAATCAAACCTGCAACACTTTGGTTTGCAGCCCACGCTCAACCCACTGACCTACACCAGCCAGGGTGCTTTATTCATTTTTTAAAAAATAAGATACAATTTAGGGAAAAGACTCATGTTACTATTATCATAATTACTTGATTATCAAATGCCAAAGTTTTTGAGAAGCCCTTTAGTGCTAAATATTGCTAAACAAATATTACATCTACTAGACAAATGGAAAATGATAGAAATACTAAGAAAAATAACTCAGAGGACATCTTGTGCATCAATTTTTAAAACAAATATTTTAAAACTAAAATGAAAAGGTACAGAGAATAAGTAGCATAGATTGTAGGTTGAAAATAGATAGGGGGAGGGTAAGAATAGTATGAGAAATGTAGAAGCTAAAGAACTTATAAGTATGAAACATGGACATGAACTAAAGGGGGGGATGTGGGTGGGAGGAGTTATACAGGGTGGAGGGGTGTCAATGGGGGAAATGGGACAACTGTAATAGCATAATCAATAAAATATATTTAAAAAACAAAAATGAAAAACATTTCAAACTATAAAAATATTTAAAATATATACATATATGCTCATCCTTGGCTGGTAGGGCTCAGTTGGAGCATTGCCCTATAAACTGAAGGGTTGTAGGTTTGATCCCTGGTCAAGGCACATAGGTAGGTTTCAGGTTCAATCCCCAGTCTATGCTCAGTAGGGGCAGATACAAAGGCTACCAATCGATGTTTCTCTCTCACATAAGCGCTTCTTTCTCTCTCCTCCCTCTCTCTTTTTTAAAAGTATATTTTATTGATTATGATATTACAGTTTCCCAATTTATCCCTTTTATCACCCCTCTATCCTACAATGCCCAAATCTCTAGGATCCTCCTCCACCACCCTGCTTACTCCAGGTCCATGAGTTGTACATATAAGTTCTTTGACTTCTCTGTTTCCCATATTATTCTTTACCTCTACCCATCTATTTTATGCCTACCAATTATGCTTCTTATTCCCTGTACCTTACCCCCATTCTTCCCCTCTGCCTCCCCACTGAAAACCCTCCATATGATGTCCATTTCTGTGATTCTGTTCCTGTTCTAGTTATTTGCTTAGTTTTTCTTTCTGGTTTTTTTTTTTTGTTTTTAGGTTCAGTTGTTGATAGTAGCAAGTTTGTTGTCATTTTACTGTTTATAGTTTTTGATCTTCTATTTCTTAGATAAGTCCCTTTAACCTTCCATATAATAAGGGCTTGGTAATGATGAACTCTTTTAACTTGACCCTATCTGGGAAGCACTTTATCTCCCCTTCCATTGTAAATGAAAGCTTTGCTGGATAGAGTAATCTTGGCTATAGGTCCTTGCCTCTCATGACTTGGAATACTTCTTTCCAGCCCTTTCTTGCCTACAAGGTTCAGCTGGGAGTCTCATAGGTACTCCTTTGTAGGTGACTCTCTCCTCTTGCTGCTTTTAAGACTTTTTATATTTAATCTTAGGTAATTTAATGATGATGTGTCTTGGTGTGTTCCTCTTTGGGTTCAACTTCTTTGGGACTGTCTGAGCTTTCTGGACTTCCTAGAAGTCTATTTCCTTTGCCAGATTGGAGAAGTTTTCCTTTATTATTTGTTCAAATAAGTTTTCAACTTCTATCTAGCTCTTCCTCTTCTCCTTCTGGCACCCCTATAATTCTGATGTTGGAATGTTTAAAGTTGTCCCAGAGGTTCCCAAGCCTCTCTTCATTTTTTGAATTCTTATTTCTTCATTCTGTTCCAGTTGGATGTTTATTTCTTCCTTGTGTTCCAAATCATTGATTTGAGTCCCGGTTTCCTTCCCTTCACTGTTGGTTCCCTGTATAATTTGCTTTATTTCACTTCATTTGTTCCTTCATTTTGTTACTAAACTCAGTCACTTCTGTGAGCATCCTGATAACCAGTGTTTTGAACTCTGCATTTGATAGGTTGGCTATCTCCTTGTTGCTTAGTTCTTTTTCTGGAGTTTTGATCTGTTCTTTCATTTGAGCCATATTTCTTTGTCTCAGTGCAGCTGTTATGTTGTAAGAATACCTTAGATATTCTTCAGGGCAGGGCAACCAATTTGGCTGCATTGTGGCACTGTATGTGGGAGAGGGTTCAGAGAGGGAACAATGCCACTTGCTAGCTTGCTCTGCTCTCACCCTACTTTTCTTCACTTCCCTCACTTCCCACAAGTGAATTTTCCCCTTTCAGGTGCTAATTTCTAGGTGGGTGGACTTGTGTACATTCTAGAATTCTGTGAGCCTCTTCAAAAGACTCTCCTGTGAGGCCATTTCTCTCACAACTGCAACAACCATGGGTTTTTAGAGCCAGAGGTTTGAGACTTATTTTCCTGCGCTGGAACCTTGTGTTGCATGGTCTGTCTTGCTCCCCAGTTGTTTCTCCCAGATTAACTACATGCAAATGTGGGACTCCCTGGTCCATCTTCTGCTGCCTTGTTGCATGTCCTCTCCACCCTGGCTTCCTGTCTTCACCCCTCCTACCAGTCTGGATGAATGTTTCTTCTTTAACTCATCAGTTGTCAGACTTCCATACAGTTTGATTTTCTGGCATTTCTTTGTTTTCAATTGGTTGTTATCCTTCTTTTGGTTGTGTGAGGAAGCATATCTACCTATGCCTCCATCTTGGCTCTGGCAAAGGAAATAGACTTCTATGAAGTCCAGGAAGCTCAGACAGCCCCAAAGAAGTTGTACCCAAAGAGGAACATACCAAGACACATTATCATTAAACTACCTAAGATTAAATATAAAGAATCTTAAAAGCAGCAAGAGGAAAGGAGAGAGTCACCTACAAAGGAGTGCCTATGAGACTTCTAGCTGATTTCTCAAAAGAAAACTTGTAGGCAAGAAGGGGCTGGAAAGAAGTATTTGAAGTTATGAAAAGCAAGGACCTACATCCAAGATTACTCTATCCAGCAAAGCTTTCATTTACAATTGAAGGGGAGATAAAGTGCTTCCCAGATAAGATCAAGTTAAAAGAGTTCATCATCACCAATCCCCTATTATATGAAATGTTAAAGGGACTTATCTAAGAAAAAGAAGATCAAAACATTGAACAGTAAAATGACAACAAGCTGACAACTATCAACAACTGAACCAAAAAAAAATGAAAAGAAAAACTAAGCAAACAACTAGAACTGGAACAGAACCACAGAAATGGAGATCATATGGAGGGTTATCAGTGGGAAGGGGGTGAGAAAGAATGGGGTAAAAAGGTATAGGGAATAAGAAGCATAATTGGTAAGCACAAAATAGACAGGGAGAGGTTAAGAACAGTATAGAAAATGGAGCATGCAAAGAACTTATGGACATGAACTAAGAGGAGGGTAATGCTGAAGGGAGGGGGAGTGAGGGGTAGAGGAAGATAAAGGGAAGAAAAATGGGAAAACTGTAATAGCATAATCAATAAAATATACTTAATAAAAACATATACATTAAAAAATAGAATGCAGAAGATTATAGAATAAAAATGAACTACTTTCTCTAGAGGTAAGCACTTTTTGGTATATATTGATATCTAAGTCCCTTTTCCAAGCAGTGATATGTAGACACACACACATATATATATATACCTTACAGCATTGCTGTCCAATAGAATTTCTTCAAGAATGAAAATGTTCTGTATCTGTTCTGTCCAAAATAGTAACCATTCACATTAGCTACCGAGCACTTGTAATGTGACTAGTATGACTGAGAAAATGTTACTCATTTTTAATTTTATTTACTGGTAGCTCTAATGAGATAAATTTAAATAGACATGTGTGAGTGGCTATTTTACAGCACAGTGCTACAGATATATGAAGTCTGTACGGAAAAAGTACAGCCATTGTTAATATAACAAGAATGGTTTATGCAACATCAATGTACCCCGGCAGCCAAGGAGAGTGGACTGAAATGCGTATAATGTGTAAACAATAATGACTTCACTATACTAGTTAGTGGGGGCAGTGGACACCATTGAGTGAACCTGTGCACTGTGTGGCCATTGCATTTAAAATGACTGAGTAAGTAGAGCACCAAATCTGCATCAAATTTTTTGTTAAGTTTGAACATTCCTTCTCAGAAACTATTTGGATGATTCAGAGGCTGCAGCTATGGGCAACTGATGGTTGCCAGCTTCATCATGATGACGTGCCCACTCATGTATCATGTCTCCTGCACAGTTTTTTTGTGAAACATCAAATCACTCAGATATTTCAGCACCGCCATGGCCCCAATTTGGTGCCATGTTACTTCTGACTTTTCCTGAAACTAAAATCACCTTTCAAATGGAAGAGATTTCGGACCATCTGTGAGATTCAGGA